TCATTTCGAGCGTCTCTAAGCTCGTGGCTGGCGCGGTTACATATCCGTACCAAGTCATTCGAAGCCGCCTCCAGAACTACGATGCTGACGAACGATTTGGACGAGGCATTCGAGGCGTCATGAAGAGGACTTGGACGGAGGAAGGGTTGCGAGGCTTCTACCGGGGTATTATCCCCGGTGTCGTGAGAGTCATGCCTGCAACATGGGTCACGTTTCTGGTGTATGAGAACACCAAGTTCTACCTGCCAAAGTGGACGAGCGGTCCGAGCGTAGATCAATAGAATTCCTTCCTATCCTGTATTATCCTGCGTAAACAGTCATAGAATTGCGTTATGTTGCTGTCTCTCTAATGCGCTGTCTGAGATTGTATAGCGGTAACAAGATCTTCATCCATACCCATGTCGTCCTCCGTGAAGTTTACTCTTCGTTTAGTCGGCTCTAGTCTTCATGTTCTCTTTATTCCTGCCGGCATAACAGTGCTTTCAGTGTTGTCGCGCCATAATCACTGAGCTCAGAAGCACGAATACTAGCATAGGCAACTCCAGTCAGCAGAGATTGCACTGTCTTAAATGCGTCACTGGTGAACATTATGTCTCCGGCCAAAATATTCACAATGGATGCCAAACTTAACCCGTTGGCCAGTACGAGACTACCAGGGCAGTCAACCAGCTTCAGATCTATCCTGTCGCTAAATTCACCGAGACACTCGAGTTTGACGCTCCTAATTATGTCTTAGTGTTCCTTCCTAGAGCGCTGCTAGTGAAATTGACAGCGCTCTGTAACCATTCAGAGGGCTTCACGAATTAAAGAAAGCTGAGACAATAATCAATGTCAGTCTTTGACAAGTGAGACTCGCAGCAGAATGGCGTGTATTCCCATCCTATACTCTATTATATAAGACGGGCTGAAGAAAGTCATGTGTGCCGTGTGTTTTACTATCAAGGTTGTCTACCATCGTGCTATTTCCCTCTTAGGCGCACTACGCGAACTCTGACGCCGAACGACGTAGTAGCTTCAGATACAACCCACTGCCCCCATTTTCTCATCAAGACTTCTTGGTTTATCTCCCACGGTCATGGATGATATAGCCAAGCATAAGGTAACCTTCCGCGTATATTCCGTAGTCCGAAACCCTTTTCTTGGGCAGCACCTCCTATCCAAACCGCGGAGACGGGAGGATCGAGCCAATCAACACCCGGGGTAAATTCATCTCCTTGTCAACAGGTATGGTTAGTTCTTGGTTATATTATTACTTGTGCTGCAATTTGACTTACACTGTTATGACTAGACCTTCAGATTAGCAACATCGTGTATGTAACTTTGAAAGACTGAGTAAGTGTCGACAGAAGAACGGCAATTCATTGAAAGAAGAAGGGATTACCAATATGACCGTGTAACTTCTGATCAAGGAAGTACACACGTCTTGTAAGGGAGTCTGGTAAAGAAAATGTTCAAATGATTCGAGAGAGTCTCACCATCATTAGCTGACTACTAGCATACACTCAATTATTTCGAGCTCGCTATCTAGCCGCTTTGAAATTGATTGCAGGGTTCCTTATTCTATAGGAGCGAGGATTTTGTAAGGCGGTGACGATATGTCTCAGAGTAAAGTCAAGTTATAAATCACAGCACTTTACGCAGCCTTACCTATCTCTTCATGCAGCCCCTTTACGACTATAGACAAATCGACATATCATAATAACAGCATCCAGCTTGTATATATATTCAGCACAAGAGTGCCGATACCTCAGACTTCGTACTGATAGGTAACTACTTGCGAGCTATCCGGAGCTGCACATTAACTGCCAAGGTAGACCCGAACCAAGTCACAGGCTTAGGAATATATACTCGCCCAGATACAGTGTCATTTCAGGTATCACCGCCAACCCTGAAAGCTGTGATGGCGACATCAAAAGAGGCACTGCCAGATTTTCGGAGAATAGCTGAGACGCAAGTCACATTCTCGTGACAAGAGCAATATCATAAACGTCAGGGTCAGTCACGAAGACAGACAGACAGACAGACAGACAGACAGACAGCAGCCGTCAGTTGAGATCAGATCGTAATATTGCCAGCTTAAAAGGCGATATGGTTCCCTTAACCACAAGGTGTTACAACGTAGGCGTTGCACTTAGTCTTTCAAAGACATGGCCACATGGTGTCCCTCTCTCGTGTATTCGCATTACAAAATTTATGATGATTTACACATAAAAAAATTGCTATTACACATATGAGATTTGAGATACATGCGGTTTTTTGCGGAGTTACAAGTATGATAAACTTGGTCGTTGTGTTACTTTCGTCGAGAGTTTCACCACAAAGACTGGGATAGTAACTACCCGACTGGGAATGTGGGGCGTTGCGTAGATACAACCCCCACTAAACAAGCTCCCACGCACTTAAGCTTCCCTTCCTACAACTTAGGTACCTGAGGTAAGCTCGACCATTACCCTCAACGACGACCGTATTTACAGGCCAAAGTCCTCTTACGACTCCAATTGACATCGTTACCTATACATAGAAAGAGCGCAAGCGACTAATAACACAACATCCCGCAAACCCTAAGTACCGATCAACCAACCAACCAGCACCGCCCCTCCAAACTCTCCCCTCCTTCAATCCCGTAAAACATGGCCGACCGCGCGCCACCACCGAATCTCCGCCCAGGCGCAAACCGCGTGACGCGCGCGGCGACGAGCGCAACAGGCGTCCGCCGCAATCTATTCCAAAGCAATCTGACGCGCCGTCCGACGCCGACCGAGACCGCAAGACCGGGAGGAGGAGCCGGCGGCGGTGGTGGTGGGGTCAACAACAACAGTAGTAATAGTAATAACAACAACAACACGTCGATGACGACTTCTTCGTCAGCAGAAACCTTACGTCTCGACCTCGACGTCTTGTCCGAGACTTCGGAGATCGTGATCCGAGACCAGAACGGCGAGTTCGAGATCGAGGACCCGCCTACGCCGCCGCTCGATGACCCGGACGACGAGGTCGCACTTGACGATGCGCAGGAGAACGAACGTATGCATTTCGCCCTTCCAAAACTCCGCTTCAGAATTTCAGAGGGAAGTTCATGTGCTGATGTTTTATATGTGTTTGTACAGGAGAAAGACAGAGACTGGCGGAGGCTGTTCGACATCACCAGATCAATTACACGCGCATGCCCGTACAACCTGAAGGTAATTGTTAGTAAGCTCGTGCGAAGCTTCTGGGGCTGACAATGGAAGCAGAGGTTCTCGAAGTACTCAAGGCCAGCATGAGGGCAAAAGTAGCCGCACTGGCTGAGGACAATTGGATGTACGAGGCCGAAGAACCACCACGAGTGCATTGAACATGCTCAAAAGGGATACTCTTCGTCATATTCTCTATGCTCGCTGTCTATGCTACAGTTATCCCTGCGCAACTTAATTAGTCTAAACCTTCCGCCGCTGGCATCGAGGTAGAGGTCGAAGTGGGAGCCTTGATGGCAGGTTTCTTGGCGCTCCCGCCTGCGGGGGCTCCGCCGCCGAAGAAACCACTCATCATATCCATCAAGGGATTGCTCTGCCGGGGCTTCGTGATGCCGAAGTATATCTCGGCAATTATGTCTAGCGCCTCGTTCCACATCTCGAGCTCTTTCAGGTGATTGGCGTACTTCGCCGTCAGCTGCTTGTAGAGATCCGGGTTACCTCTCGGAATGGCAAGGAGCAGCAGGCCGAGGAAGTTGAGAAGCGGTATACTTGGGAACACGCGCAAATCAGCACTATTGCTGCTTACGTCTTGGGTACCGAGGTGAGACTGCTTGTCGTCGCTAAGCGCACTGGTGAAGACTCGGTAGCATGTATTGGCAGCCCTGACGTTAGCTGTTATGAGGTAGGGCAATACGGCTCGACCGGCGTATTGGGCGGCTGTGTGTGCTTCGTCCTCCTTGAACCATTCGTACTCCATGCGGGCTAGCACCTCGGCAGAGTCCTTGGTGCCCAACAACAGATGTTTCTCGGCATCGTAAGCCTCGTGCTCTTCCGCGTACAGGGAACCGGCAACATGGTGGAGTTCAGGGTCGCCGGCGGGGTATTCGCCGAATCTCGAAGACCATCTGTGGGCAGCCTTATGTGTTAGCATATTCACATAGCCTTCCCTAGTTAGAGCACGAGCCAAGTGACCGAATAGAAAAGAATTCGTGAACCTACGATATTATCTCCCCAATGTACTTCTTGCGCGTGGGCTCCTCGCTGTCGAACAAGCGCAGGCACGTGAGCAGTTTGCTCTTGGTGGCGTCGTCGGGTTTGAGCTCGGCCTGCTTGTAGGTGTCGACGAGGAGAACGCAGAGGTCACCGCCGCTGCCACCCTGTCCGGCCTTCAGCAGCGACAGCGCGACGTTGTACAGGATGTCGACGGCGGCAGTCCAGTTGGCGGCCTTGGTGTAGCGTGCGGCGACGACGCGGGTCTGCTGCTGGGCTTCGTAGTACTGCCCCTCGCTGATTCGCTGCTGCAGTCGCGCGATGATCTTCTCGATCTTGTCGCCGCCTCTGGCGCTGCTCATGGTGGGCTAGCTGGCTGGCTGGCTGTTGGCTCTGGACTGGGCTTCCGGACTGGTGCAGTGAGGGCTACTGTGTAAGAGTTTCTCTGAAGTCTAATATAATTGCCTAGGAGGATAATAAAAATAGGTACGTGCGCACACGGCCGATATTCGTGTCACTCACGGGTGCATTGAGCTGGTAATTAAGTGTTATTCATAGTGGACCTGAGACCCGAGAGAGTGCTGTCCAGGTGTTCTGCTCCTTGATGATGGAGGTGGGGTTACGCAGCTCTAGGTCCCGTCATAGGTGTCAGCTCAAAGTCGGGTCATAGAATATTACACTTTAAGTGCATAGAGCGTTACGCCGCGGTCATCCTGTTTCCGGCTCCTAACCCCGCACAAGCTCGAGCTTATGTCTATGCGTCGATTTATAATAGATGATAATGCTCCCTTTCCCCAACGAGCGCGTCTTGGATGGATTGTTTACGGTCCATAAATAGCTGTGATGGTGTAGGGGTAACATCTAAGCTTCCCAAGACAGAATCTATGGTCTTCACGATCGTATGATTTACAATCTAGCTTGCTTAGGCTCCGAGTTCGAGTCTCGGTCACAGCATTCACAGCATATTCTTTTGCATTTCTGCATGACTTTTTTATTTCTATTTTGCCTCAGCTTCCTCTCTTCTGGACATTACGAACATCCCCAACTCCCACATTACCTGTTGAGTTGGAATTTTGATGCTGTTTGCCGCAGCTCAGCATCGATGGTGATCCCGCTTGGCTAGGCCCTTGGGTCAAGATGCCTACCCGGCCACTATCCCCAGACATGATGTATCATGGAGCTGAGAACACAAGGAGCCCGGTGAGGTACAATGCGACCTCAGTTGGAATACGGCGTTTGTAGTGATTTCATATAGAAACTTGCCTCGAACTCCTGCTTTCTAACTCATCGTTGCGGTGCAGCGTATTACCTATTTAGGAAATGGTACTGTTGGAATACGGCGTATTGGCGGACCCACCGGGCTTCTTGAGGATACAATCATCGTGAGTGTCACGTAGGAAACTGTTTGGCGTGAGACCTATCCATCTATATAACAACACTGCTCGGACTCTCATGTTAATTTTCGTACCATCTTCCATATAATTCTTTCCATTACTGCGTTAACTCTTCGTCTTTGCTTCGAAGTCCCGATTGTCTTCACCCGCTACAATGATCACTTGTACTCGCTCACTAGCCTCACGAGCTGCTATAAAAGGGGCGCCACCACTTACACGCACGCATTCCAATACATGTGCAGCCTCACTTCTGATCAACGATTTAAGAAACATCAATGCACATACGATTGAACAATACAGCATTAACTCGGCAAAAGCCCCCTCCACGAGTGTTCGCCTTCTATCCTCGTCTTCTGCGTCTCTGTCTGATAAGAACAATATTACCGGTGCCAACGCTGGCAAGGATAGATCAGCGAAGTCTCAATCGAGACCAAACAATGATCGGACTTCAACACCGTCGGAAGAGGACTTTAAAGTCAGTTTCCGGGACCTCGGTATGAACCGAATCACCAAGTTTGTGGTATATGCCACCATCGGTGTCCTCGGCACCATGGAGACTATATTTTGGTGCAAGGCGCTTGTAAGTGCACCAACCACATACCAGCCAACTTGCTGCTGGTTCGGCACCGCTTGTTCATATCGTGATGAAGAGTATTTGACTGACTTGGGATATTGAGCGTAGTGGCGCTGGTGGACCGGTGCTGAAGAGGACAATGAATGAACGTAATCGATATGTCCTCCGACGTGAGAGAGAATCACCACTCTTGTAATAGATTTTGTCGTCATCTTTTGGATTAGCTACTTCATCATAACCGGTCAGAAAAGCATTTAGACACAAGTGTTCTAGTCGAGAAGGGTTTCGCTGCTCAGTATTGTAGCTTTCCTAAGACAACTCATCTCCTAATTAGTATCAGTAAGGGTAATGGATATTCACCGCGCCCTGATATAAGTGTCTTATAACTAGACTATAAATCCGTTTGTCTAGATATTATTACAAGCCACAGCATAAGCCCCCAGACCTCGAAGACACAATTTTCAATCGTATTGCGATTGCCAAGTTTCGCTGGAGTGAGCGGTGCGTTGTCAAGTTATATAAAGTAGATTAGGATCAAATTAGTTTAAAGGATCCTGTAGACTATTAGGGTTTATCTGGTTTTGAGCCCGACTTGCTGCCTGAGACCGTGCTCCCATTTGTCATATATTTCCCCGGCAACAAAATTGTAGACCTTGTTCTAGACATATAGTTCTTCGGCCAAGAGCTGTCACAATAGCGTGAAACTTAACGCCATATCGCGTTCTACACATTTGAATACGTGTTGAAGGCTGGTACGTCACAGAGTGATGATGTCGAGAAGACTAGGAGTTCTATCGGGGGTGCTGAGCTTGCTGCATAGGCAGGTAAACTGACCACTTTTCGTGGTTGTCTCGACCTCGACCTGGCATATAAAACCAATATTCGGAATGGTAACGTATGCCACCACCAGAACGGGTTTTGTCTGTCAGGCTGAAAACTCGGCGGTGGGATTATCTATAACTGTGGCAGCGTTACGATCGGGAAAAAAGATCCGGGTGTTGGCTCGAGGAGTAGTATCCGTCACACCCTCCACCATCCTAGATGGTGGTTTAATCAAGTCTGGATGGGTGATTTGCGCAAAAGCCTGAATCTGCCATAGCTGAACGCTAGGTATTATGCTTATCGAGACCGGTCCCACTTCCCACTTTTGAACGTTCGAGAGCTCAAACTGACATCGACGTGCGTATTGAGAGGCACGGTATTGGCTGCATCACGGGCCTTTTCTACCTATGATAATTGTTAGCCAGTGTCCCAGGCTGCTGGCCCCTCTGGCTCGGTCCTTGTATCAAGCACTGAACAAAACGCGGTACACGTGTGTAGGTGGGATCTGGGATGGTGCTGGGAAGCTGTTAGCGCGTCTGAATTCCACAGATATCCACTGGCTGGAGTGGGGCAAGAGAGGGTTTTAGCGCCAGATTTAGCGTGCCCGCGCGTATCGTCCCAAGATGAGACGAAAAACGCCGTTAAATTTAGGACGACGCTGCAGGGTGTTAAGGTATCGGTACATGACGAATCGCATACATCTATGAATTCTAGCCGTCCTCTTATGCGCGAGAATGACGAGTTCGGGTGGCGGGAGATATTGGAGGATCTTCTCGACTTTCCAATGAGATCCCGTCGCCATCACACACAAGCCACCCGCTTGGCGCTCAGTTCCGGGAGCTGGATGCCTAAACAGGTAGCTGAATGGTGAAACACGATGGTCGACAGCGGTGTACACGTGTGCACCGCCACTTGTTGAGTTACAGAGTGTTACAGTGCTGGCATAGTATTGACATAGCTAGCACAGGACCTAAATGTCAATCTCCCGGACCGTTCTGGATTCTCGCCGAAACCAGAGCAGGGGTGTAAGGTCATTGGCTGGCGAGCTCTTCTGTTCCTGTTTTATTGTGGTACCCCAGTACGACCCTAAGCTGCTTCGGGAAACTCTTGGCAGCGTATGATGGGTCTTTTAGCCACACCGAGTCAAGCCACCGAGATCCCCTGGTCGCTCTGGCCCCGGTCCCTGTTGAGACCCTTATTAAAACGAGATGGCATTAAACGAGATGGAAGGTTTCCTCGGACTGCGGCGACATAACCGCTGGCTGATATCACGCTAGAGAGCCTTATTCTCACTTCTTCTCTTCCATTGCAATGTTTTAATCAACTAGTGTACTTTTTCTTCTTACACTCGCTTTTCTATTACCGAATATTATAGGTATATCATATGCCTAGTCGCCTTTCTTATCTGATTTCCATACCGTGCCTTTCGTTGGTCCTATAAACCATAAAGCTGACCTGCCTGCTTCTAACCTTACTTTCGTGATGGCTGCCGAAATCGAAGAACCTGTTTCGGCAGGGGACAACAGTGCCACCGCAGAAGAAGTCAAGCCTTACAAGATCCATGTAAGTTCCTTGTTTGCATCTTTCAAAGGTATATATCAATATGTATATATACGTGAGGCTGATGCTCCCTGGTTCGTGTGTTCAGGTCTCTTCTCGATATCTCAATCTCACCAAGCAGAAACTTGAGATCGCACGATTGCCTAAGGAACTTGATGATCCTAAGTCGTCGGATTGGTGGCAGCCACAGTCTCAAGTTGAGCCTTTGATCGACTACTGGTTAGTCTTACCGTATCTCTTAAGTTTTGCTTTTCTCTACTACTTCTATAAGTCACGATACCTCATCTCTTTTTTTACGCAAGATATTATCTATAAAATGATAAACTAATATCGAACAGGCTCGAACAATATCAATGGCGGGAGCAAGAAGAAGCATTGAATGGCCTCCCGCAATTCCGGACAGGCTTTACTATCCCTCAATCCAAATCACCTATTAGAATTCAGTTCATCCACGCTCTTTCACCACATCCAAACGTGATACCCTTATTATTAATACCCCCTTTTCCCTTCTCAAGCCTTTCTTTGGGGCATCTAATCAAACTGCTTACGGAACCAGAAGAGGCAAATCATCAGCCATTCCATGTTGTCATACCTTCGCTACCTGGCTTGGGCTTCAGCGATGCGCTTCCGGCCAACGCGCCCGTCATATCCTCTACGGCGGGTATCCTTGACTCCTTAATGAAACGCCTAGGCTACTCCCGTTACATAGCATCAAATACAGGCCCAGGGGTCTCTTCGCCAGCTCAGATCGACTATAAACTTGCTGATTGGCTATCAACGCAGTACCCAGACTCGTGTCTTGGGACTCATCTCATCTCTCCGCCGTTGACTCAACCGAGACTTAAAAAAACACCTCTGGCCTGGGCGAAATGGTCCATTGCGAAGTTCTTCGAGGCATCCATATTTGGATACCGCTCGGACGACTTCTCCGTCCTTAGGCAAGGACGTGTTGGGGCGCCCAAGAAATCGAAGACCGCCGCGAGATTTCGGCCCAGCAAACCCGGCCTCACGGAGCCCAACACATTATCATATGCACTCTGCGACTCGCCCACAGGGCTTCTGGTCTTTGTGATGAAGGGCCTCTGCCTACTGGCTCCCCAGAAGGAATTCACGCCCATGGAAATTATCAATTTCACGCAGCTTGCGTGGCTTCCTGGTCCCGAGTCCGCCATGCGTTTCTGGGGGTACTGTGAGCGTCATCCAGAAACGACGGGCAAAAACTCCCCCAGGAAGTCGGATGTGGCATTGACTGTATTTCTCGGAGACGCGAAAAGAGAGGGGCCCCAGAACGGCAATGGCGAGAATGAAAATGCCAGTACTGACATGTTTGATGGGGCGAAACTCTCATATTCCTGCCCTACCTGGGCTAAGACACGATACAATGTGCTGCACACCAACCGCGTGAGCGGAAACCCAAGTCTTCTCGCCTGGGAACGACCAGAAATCATAGCAGCCGGTGTCCGGGGGCTCGCGGCGGCTTTGATAAAGCTCGATAAATGGCTTCAACTCCCGACTATGAAGCCGGAGACGGCCCCTCCACCGGGAGGACAAGAGGTAGCAGCCGGTGCGGAGACGACGGCCACTGCCCCTCCATCTGGAGAACA